CGCCATTTTGGTTCTCCCAGTAACTCTTGCGCCGCTAACTCGCGGGTCTCGATCCCTGCCTGTGCCACGAAAATTTGAGTTCTCCTGCTAAGTGTTCCCGAATGTAGATTTATTTCAAATCACGCAATAATAAATTACTGTATTCAACTTTCGGAGAGTATTAGTTTGGCGATTTGTCTTCTTTCTTGTTTTTTGTAAACGCCTGTTGGAGTAATCATACTCGCGTCGCGTGAGCGCGAGTAGCTCGCGTGAACTCGCATGCACTTTAGTCACGTGTTCCAAAGATTGGCCTGGCAGCCATGTTTACTGAGTTATTCACAGATAATTTTCTGTATCCTAGTTTTCGATACAGTAGCGCAGACCACGTAAAGTGTATAAGATGATGTGAATACCTGGCTTTATCAAATGTACGAAAAGGGTACCTAAACATTCTGCTGCAAGTTGGTTCGTCCAATTACGAAATTGAAACGTTTACAGTTGGTCGAGCGTGGAAGTAAGATGTAAATAATGATTTTTGCTGGAGAAATGGCCCACTTTTGTCACTCTTTTACACTGGGTAAGTAAAGTATTTAAAGCGTAGACTCAGTTCGGTTCAATTGACTTTGGATGACCATATTTTTACTGCTCGGTGTAAAAGTGACTAGAAAGAATTGAGCCTTATGCAGAAATATCTTTCTTTTTTTTTCTTTTTATCTTGATGATCTGGAACACCTTTCACTGTTGTTGTTTATACACTGCAGGTCTTCGAAAGATTTGATTCAGTAATATCTTACAAAAAGTAATAAGCTTAAATGAAATTATTGCGGTATAGTCATTTGTTATCTCTTTCCATAAATTATTTAATATATTTCCTGATGATAACATAGAGTGTCACCTTTTTGTATTAAGGTGGCTCGATTGGGTTTTTCAATAGTGACAACTTCCAACTTTAAATATAAATCACAACGAACTAAACCATAATTCAGGAGATTGAATCCGCACTCGGCTCTTGCTAGGGATAGACCAAAGTTTCGGGTGCGGTGTATTTTATCAAGATCGGAGTTACTATAGCAACGGAATGACGTCATTGCTGTTTTTACTCACGGTCGATTTTCTTGAAATCTAGAGGTTTTCTTCCTAAACTATCTACTGTCCTTGAAGTTTTTATAGTGTGCCTGATGTGTAGCGAGTTTAAACAAATTCTATCAGAGCGATTTCGAGAAATTTTCGCCTAAAGTTTTCGACTGTTAACCAGAAACAAATCTAATCGAATTGCTCTAGTATATGTTCTAGTTTTATGTTCTAGTGCGTTGTGATTTATATTTAAAGTTGGAAGGTGTCACTATTGAAAAATCCAATCGTGCCACCTTAACACTTTTACACAAGAAAAAAATTTAAACTTATTAGAAATATAAAGCCATCTGTGAGAGAGTATACATCAGATTATCATTCCTATTTAAGTATTGTCTACATGTAGAAACTATTGCTACTAACATGGGGGCTAGACAGGTACAGGACTATTATAATATTAGGTTTTCATGTATAAGGGAACCATGGCTTTAAGGCATAATACAGTAATTGCTGGGTCCTCAGCTTCTTAAAGGACCCTAGTCGGCCTCTGCTATTTTCGATGTCATCAAGATTATTGATGCTGCACGTGAAACGAAATCTTATTGCTTTACTGTAAGTTGTGTTCCTGAAAGTATGTTCCTTTATCTTTAGTAGTTTCAAACAACCTCGTTCCCAGGGTCTCTCGTCTTACCGCCCCCTGGAGCGAGCGAAGAGAGACCCTGGTTGGGTCTGGTCACGTGTCACTTTGACAATTGAGAACATCAGGGAGGGGTCCTCTGTAATCAGCAGTTTGTCGCATTGAGCTTTGTCGCTGGCTGCGACCGCCACATTATCCGCGGCGTTTATCAATACTGAGCTTTCAGGTTGAAATTTCGAATAATATCTGTTCCAACGTTAAAGGTTAAGCAAGTCTGTCTCGAGGCA